GCAATGCCCCCAGCAAGCTTTGTTTTAACAAAAGCCTGTTAGCTGATCGTTCAATTTTCCGCTCTCATCTTCACCCCTCCCCCCAACACGCACACACTCCCCTCATTTTTTTCTTCTCAGCTCATGTGTCTGTTCCTCTTCACAGCTTTGGAGTGTGAAAAAGACAAATGCAGAGAGGGTAACTGTTAGTTTGATAAGGATAAAGTGCAATTATTGTAAAAAAAAGGAAGGTTTTTGTTTCTTGCTGCCCTCCTTTAATTGTCTCATTGTCAGTGATTCGTCCTCTCCCCTGGCACTTGTCAGTGTTTCTTTTTTTTTATTTGTTCGGAGTGGGTTTTTTTTTTTGCACTTGTCAAATACTTAGTCTGTGGTATTGATTGCATCATTCGTTCATCTCAAATACTCAAGTAGAACATAAAGAAGCCAGTTTCTGGTTAGTATAGGATTTTTCTGTATAGCATTTTATTCTGAATTTTTATTTTTTCTGTAAGTGAAAGTAAATACTAAGGAGTTAYAATAGTCCATTTTGAATATGTTTTTAAGTCTGAAAGTGTATGTGTCTTCACTGCTGAACAATCATTTTACAGTATTACAGTGGTACAAAACTACAAGCTCTAACAGTTGTACTAATAATCCCTTTAACTCAATTGCAATGATACTTGCAGTAGAAGAAACGTGCATAAACTGAAATTGTATGCACAAGAGAGGGGACGAGAATGTGCAAAACCAGTAAATACRTATCAGTGTAAGGTCTCCCAATGTCCTGTAGTCGCTGGTGTTGTTTGTGAATCTCTATCATTAGGGACCACTAGAGAATCTAAGTCTAATTAGGCTGTTTAGTAGAGCCAGCGGGGGAAAAAAAAGTTAGACTGAATTGAGCTCTGCTTGTGTTGCTGAGCCCTGTGAGAGAYGCTTTTAATGAGCTCCAGGCTGTGTTTTTACCATAATGTCGCTCTCCCTCATTTCTCTTACCTGCTCTGGCTTCTCTTCCAGTCCTCCAAACAGGMAGACTTGCATCTGTGTCCATTATTCATAAAAAAGAAACACAGAGATGTAAAGTGCAGCTTATAGAAGAGACATACATACGAACATAAAAACACAATAAAAGCAACACCTGCAGGCTATAATGCAAACCAAGATTTTGTAAAGCTTTGGGATAAGATGTTATTGAGAAAAATGAACAAAACGGTACCATAAAAAGGCAGTGTATATT